TTTTATCAATACAGGTTAAAAAAAGCATCATAAAGTATTGTTTTTTTGGTGGGGTTTTTTGCAACTTCAATTATAGAAAATATTATTAGTTAACTAGCTTTGTTTGTTGCTAATCGATTTAAATATGGAATCTTTATTTTTGCAGACAAGACGAATGGTGGTTTCGTACTCAAAACAACGTTAACCTTTATAGTTGGCTAGCAGAACTAATGTTGAACTATTTTGAATCCAAATTGAACGATACTTAACTTGCATTTAAAAATTACAAAAGCGAAGGTTTGAAATATAATGAAATTACGTCCGTGATGATTAATCTTGCCGCTTTGTTATAATTGAATAACTTCAGTGATTGACACTAATAGTACGCAATACATATGACCCGAATATATTTCACTTTGTCGATGAATTGTAACTAGACACTCATGGACTAATCGTGTTATTCTAACCGATATACGTAAACATTCAGACAGGGTCTGATTATTAAGATGTCAATAGAAAATATAAATCAATTATACAAAATGTAAGTTACGTAATGTTTATTGAAATATAGAGAAGATTAAACCTTCCAAACAATTAAGGACGATTAATTTGACATATAGTTTGAACATTGTGCATATAACTGGTAATCTCGTTTCACTAGTTTTTTTAAATTATTTATTGATTCGTCTTAAATCTGTATTTGGCAAATTTGATGTACTATGTATTTTTTCCTATGAATAAAAATATCATTTTCTGTCGATTTATCTTCTCTGTGGCAGTCAATACAATGAAAAAGTACCCTGATTGAGAGAAAAATATTAACGAACACTTATAAAAATTTAGAGAAAACATTCCAAGTGTTTTCCCATGCTATGGACTAAATAGCATCTTTAGATAAAACCTTGCAGTGGTATAATTTTAAACCTAGGATTTAAGGGGGGATTGTTACCAGTAATTGTAGTATGTCTGCTTCTCGTGTTGGACGTTATATCTCCGAACTTTCATCTTACGATTTCAGTATAGTTTGTAAAACCGCTCTGTGTTTTTTTTATCTTCAGAAGATACCTAGCACCTGACAAGCCTCTTTATTGATATAGAACACCTGACTGAAGTCAGACAGAAAGGAAATAGTTCCCTCTACACCATACGACATCGTTTGGGACGGCAATATCTAACCAGGCATATTTGTAAGCGTCTTTAATTAAATTGTCTGCATGGTGCCCCTGGCCCAAACAAAGACAGAAACTGCCATAATATACAATTGCATGTTGACGACAGGAGTCTCCTATTTTACATAGCTGAAATATATAATCCAAACATCAGTCTCAAGATTGTTATATTAAATACACCGACATCCAGTTAATATTACCGCTATGTTGCTATCAATGTACAATCACTTAACCATGGTTTTGACTCTGTTGAACTTTTGACATCTAAACTAATTGCATCTTAGACTTTGCCATCGGTGTTCCACGACAACGACGCAATTCGATATGTTGACAAATATATCATTACAGAAAGCACACTTGTTCGACTGCTTAGGGGGATGCCGCTTAATGACGGGTTATGCAACCATGATCAACGGGGATTTTTTGTGTGTGATATGAAGGTAAAGTGTGCCTTACTGTATTGATGTCGCTTTGAGGACGTGACGTTTCTTGGATTAGACCTAGATATAACTCACGGTTGTCGTCAATGAAGCAAAAGGCAATTGCGAAAGAAGACCTGAACGGAAGGAAGAAGGGATAAATAAATAAATAAATAGATGTTCCAAGTGCTGAGATAAATGCAACATGTCTACCGTTTATCGAAGTACCTACATTAGGGAAAGTAATTTTGATGACCCGTGGTGTAAAATCACTGTCTCCAAAATTTCATTGAGGTATCATGTGATGTTTTGTAAGTGACTGGTAATTTTCGGGACCTCGTCTCCAATCTTCTTGCTCCCATCCCCCATCCCCCACACCATCAGCCTTTACAGGAAGACGATCGAACAATACTACACAAACTGTCCAAATTTGTTGACAATATTCCATATTTCCTTCTTAACACCGTCCTAAGATGGATTTTGCAATATAAATAGCCTTCGGGAGGAACACGGCTCGAGGAAATACAATATATGCGTGCAACATTTGGCACCACCCACTAGAGACCCATATCTCCATTATCAAATTAGAAAGGTCGTCATCAGCTCTACCGTAAAATCGGCTTTGACGATTGATACGGGTCCTTTGTGGGCTATGTCAAATGCCTCACACACATATTGCATATTTATATACGTTATCTTTTCCTTTTCAAATTAAACCTGGTGACCCTTTCTATTTTTCAAGCGGGTGAACGAACATGTAGGTACTCTATGTCTTTTTGATAATAAAACTTGAAAAGTTGTATACGTATTGAAAACATTATTGTTCAATACGGGCACTGGATCCAAACAGAAATACATTCGAGAAGTTAAAACAGAAACACTGACAGTGAATTTCACAAATCTTCTACGCAGTGCGCTTTTTGTCAGTAAATAATTGCAAAAATAAAACAAATCCAATATCATAAGCGAGACAAAACAAGACAAGAAAAAAAAACAATAATCTTATAGTTACACGTACTTTTAAATGCTTACGCTAATGTTGCAGCAAATTCATTCAGTCGGCTGGTTCATGAAGCCGAATGCTGTATTTTAATATATAATCCGTCTTTTGTTTGTATAGCAAAGCAATTTATTGAAAGGTAGACAGTGTCATCCCATCTTGACAAGTTAATAAAATGACAAAATATCAGAATTTTTCAACAAAGAGATGAAACGAACAATCTTACGTGATACACAGCGGTCGAATTATCAAGTACAATTACCAATCATATTTATTATATTCGGCATGAAAATGAGAATTCGTCACACAAAATCATTTTACAAAGATCCTGCCAAACCAAGCCTTAACATGCTATGCTGAAAGACAAGAGAACCTTAAATGAAAGATGCCATATAATTATGTAATACAGTTTTTATTAACCAACCAGAAGAAATATTTTTTTGAGAAATGGTAAATCTTTGACACGTTCGTTAATACGTTTTATCAACATCCTTTAGATGAAAGCAATAATTTCATCAGTAGGAATTTAAGTGTATGTTATTGCTCCAGTCTACTAAGACAGCAATTTATTTCTGTGAAAACGTCTATGATTAGTTACCTCAATGAGATATACGCTAATCACTCAACTCGAGCGGCAATCATTATCGTTATGAGTCAAAGTAACATCGATACTAGACCGCCTGGGGCATGCAAGTGAGCCGCCTTCGAAATCATACTCGTACAATATGAATGTGACATATCCTACACATGTTAAAGTCCATGGTTTAGAATGTGCCACCTCCAAAATCGTAAGAGTAGCAACTCAACACTAATAGACATTATTCCTCGTCAGCCATTTTGCAATTGAAAACATCATTTCCGAAACTGTGTGTTTCAACATGGAAATGTGGCAAATTGACTGAGCCATTTGAAATTGAAGGAGTATTGGATGTGCAACCCGGTGTTCTCACAGAAATCAATTAAGCCGTGAAATTGTGGCCAAGATATGGGAGTCTGGCAAATGATACAAATGTATCTAATTTGATACATTACTCTCATAATTAGTGTACTATAGCAATAAGTTTCAATTACTTTAAGATAATTAGTTGAACTTCCTGAAATGTGATTGTTTCTTAATCAGTTCACTTTTATTGTCGCTGTGTACATTAATATCAGATGTAACTACATTGTTGGTAGCTTTCTTTTCGGTTTATCAAATAACGACCCGTTGTTAGTGATACATTGAATTGATCATCCTAAGTCAGAAATATTCATGCTTGATCTATACAGGCTTATCAATCGTATAAATATATTAATTAGCGAGCTTATAAAATGTATAACTGCATCTAGAAACAATAGAAATATGATTCATTTCAACAAATTGTTTTGATAAGTAAAATAATTCTACGATTGGCTAGGCACATGTGCCTTCTATCCTATACAGTTCATGGCATACATGTTCTTTGATGATACAAGGGAAGCAACTTCAGTAAAGTATACCATTATAAGGCGTTAAGCAGTGGCCGCAGATAAACACTTGCTATCAAATTCATAAACTACATGTATGGTTACTTCTGAAGAGTTGGATTTTCTTAAAACTGTTTTCCTAAGATCAATGTGATTCGTTATATTGTGAGTCAAGAATGACGCATTAGTGTTTTAACTTAAACAAAACAATTATGACAAGAAATAAAGACAAACGTTGCACATGTATAGTATAGAGTGATATATCGGCAAGTACTTATCACTGGTATTATCTACAATGTAACAATGATACGTATACTCCCTCAATTTGAAGCAATACATAAGTTGTCACTGGCTGTCATTACATAGAAATAACACTAACACAATCAAACGTTTCTTGACTGTCTATTGAACCACAATTTTAGAACCAAGAGGGACGATAACATACAACGCCGCATACGTTATCATAGTAAAAAAGACAAATTGTATTTGAAATGAAAAAAATAATTATAATATAAATGTAAAACAAATACGTACGAAGTAACCTATTTTGCCATACACAGGCCTCACAATAACTCTCAATTCGCTTCCTGTGATAAAAGAAGGCCTAGTCAAAACCCATTATGAACAAAAAGACTTTATGATTTATTTATATACACATAACACACATATTTGTAAGTCAGTACTTATAGATGTGTGTTTGAGAACAACGGTTCATTACAGTTATTAACAAAATCATCAAGACAATTATATTTCCGACTGTTTCACAAACCTCCTTGTATGTTGTGTCGTTCAAAATAAGCTATGTTGTGTACTGCGATGTTAGTTTTACTACTGTGTTTTAAGATTTACTGTGTTACATCGCTGTAGCGATATAAAGCATATGATAAATAGCCGTTGGTCGTCACGCGTTATGATTCCATTGTAGGACACTGTATGTGTACGTAGAATTCCTTTGTGTCTTTTCTTTTCCTGGTAAATGCTAGGGCGTGGTAAAGCCCATTCACACGCGTCTTGGTGACATTGATCAACAGTATGAAGTATGATGGAGGCGTCTGCTGTGTGGTTCATCACTCTCCATTTCTTGTCAATGGTAACGATCACATACATGTCAGGTAGGTTTGGTTTGTAAAACTTAGAGGTGATATTTCATATTGAGTACATGTCCCGTTAATAACAGGTATAATACACCATGAATTGTTGCAACACAATACATTGTATTATTTAATTAAGTTTCACTTTGTTATATTATTAATTATGCATTGCTTTACGTCTGAGTCATACAGAAACATTATAACATCGACTTGTTAATTTGATTAGAAGTATCCATGTCTTGATAGAAGTTGGATTATACAAATTTAATGCGAAATGTAAATTCACCTTTACCTGTAATAATTTGTTATTGTTATTAACAGAACCTCACACACCTGTAAAAAGGTAAACGCTTCATGTTTTCAAATTACCAACATGTGACGTAACCTTACACACACGTGTTATAGCTACAACAATGTAGTAGGTAAACGTATACACTGTCACAATTAAACAACTACACTGTCACAATTAAACTACTACACTATCAAAATTAAACTACAACACTGGATCAATTAAACTACAACACTGTCAAGTGTGTAGTAATTGCCATTCAAAAACTGTCGCGTTATATAACATTTTGTTTCGTTTGCTTTATTTGTGTTTAACGTCCAATTAACAGCTATGGTTATTTAAGGACGTGCCATGTTTTGGTGGTGGAGGAAAGACGGATTTCCCGGAAAAAAACCACCGACTTAAGGCCAGTACCTGGCGACTGTCCCATGTAGGCCTCGAAACCACGACCCAGTGGTAGAGGGCTAGTGGTAGCAGATTGTCAGACGCCATAATTACCATTTGTTTTATAACAGCATACACTGTAACACAATATGATCTGTTAAATATAATTATCGTCGTTATAAAAAAAACTTTGTTAAAAAAGGTCATCACAAATACAGTCTACGTTGTTATTAGTTAATGATTCTTAGCGCAAATAAAGGCAAATTAAATTTGAAATTTCATTCAGAGAGCAGTGCAAAACTTGCATATTGTATCATACATCTTATAGCTATCTTGTATATACTTAATGAGATACAACGTTTCTGATATGATATATAAAAATCATAGAAGACAAAAGTAACATAAAGTATCTTATGAAACAGTGGTGCTTTGTTTACTCGATTAAGTTCGTCTAAAACAAACTTAACGTCATTTTTTATAATTTGATACTAAACGCATGAGTTAGATAAGCATGATAAATTTCATCTCGTCTGATATGTCTATATACAATATGTCTATTAACGGAAAGATCTTAAGGAGCGGATTGCTCCGAAATTTTGACAACATCGTATTGTCTACACTGTAAGAATTACTGTCTTGCCCCATTTAAAATTCGGAGTTATTCGTATCCTACAAGCATAAGTTTATAAGGATCCGGTTTGTGTTATTCGAGAAGCTACCGTTAATATAACTTCTTCGACCCACAACGGAAAGTTTTTATATATATGTTGTGTCTTTTATAAGTTATGTCAAATAGTTTTATGAAAAACCTTATCAGCATTGTTTTTTTAATATACAAAAAAGGAATTTATGTGGATTTGATAGACAATGCACGATATACACAGCCAAACAGGCACGCATAAATAAAAAATATACAACACATTTAGTCAAACTAGGCGGATGTGTATGGCTCGGCAAGACGATGCTAATTTCAACTACACATCCTTTTGCGATTACTAATAATATGTTAATGTGTGTAGGCATCCATTAGGGGATAACAGTGATGCTTTATGTTCTCAGTCACACATTATCTTTTTCATACACGTACAATGTTATTGTGGTATGTATTGCAAAATATTGAAAATAAATATGGGGAAATTTTATTGCATTACGTTGGATTTTCATAATACTGTCAGTTGTATGCTGTAGCACGATAATAGGCTTTATTCGTTAAACAGTAATTAGCAATACATCGACAGGTACAATAAAAACACAAATAGGGTAATATCTATCACAGTTCCGTTAATCTAATCAACCCCAATAAATATGCAGGTGAAAAAAAATATTCGACAAAAAAGACAATAGAAATTTTAATTTGATTTTAATGACGGTATTTAAAGAATGTTAAAGACATTGTATGTTATCATAAAGATATATGATTATTTCTTTTCTAATAGAACAAAATATTACCGAAAATCAGCGGGCGTTTATCTTAAATTAATGCATATTTATAAGTTCAATCGAGGTGCTTGTGATTCCATCAATCATAATAGTATAGGTGAAGTGTTTATATTTTACTAAACTATAATGTCTGATTTCAACGAATAATTAACGTAAGTTTCTAAACATGCTCGTCATTAAAAAAAACGTGTATATTGTACAATACTCAATGAGTTACGATGCACATTTTATTGGAAAATGAAACACTTAAACATGTTCAATGGTATGCATTCGAATTTTGAAGAGCCTTCATACTCATCGGTTGTTTCTAATTCAACTGGATTAAAATTACCGTCTACAGCGTTCACGAAAAAAAGACCTGACGCTTCGTTAGTTGTAAACTGATACCTTGTATCCACTGAGTAATATTTTCATTTAAACTTGCAGTTAACATGAGCCGTAATCCAAATGTTAAAACAACAAATCAAAGTTCAACTTTTAATGGAGCAACAGGCAGCAGTAAAGCCGTGGATGGCTGTACTAAACAATCCCTTTCTAGTGGATGTTGTTTACATACAGCATTACAATTGAAGACGGCGTTCTGGCAAATAGATTTACAGGGACAAGTCGTCATGGAATCCGTCAAAATATACTTCAGAGGTGGGTGTCACATAAACATTCAAAAGAATTAGCATTTTCACTTCACTTTGTTTTTACTAGTCTAGATGAGGGAGGAAAACCGGAGCACCACGTGAAAACCAACGTTGTCGGGCAGGTGACCCCATACCTTTCCACGTCCGATCGGGGAACCGAACCCCGGTCGCCTTAGTGAAAGGCAAGTGGGCTTTCCACTGCGCCATCCGACCAGCACATCATAATACTTTATTGAATATATATATATGTATACAAAGATATAAGATAATAGGGATAATTAGTATACCAGCTCATCTTCTCAAACTTAAGGGAAGCTAGTAAGAGATAGCTAGCTAAATGATATCTATTAGAAGGATTCGTTTCATTGCCTATGTTATAAACTGTTTGTCAAAGATTGTTGTTGTTTAACATTCGCAGTGTCAATATAATTGAAAGACAGATTAGGATTAACTCTTTACGTTGCACTTGGATTTATTTAGATGAAGAATACATACAGAAAAAGCGATCCGGTGGCTATCAAATCTATGGATCAAATACGACATTCTGGAGAAGAGGTTTTCTCTGTCATATCGACACCACTGCTACCCCTGATAGAATGGATTTGACCCCAAGCATCAGTTGTAAAGGAACCATTCGATACCTAACAATCTTTATAGATCGCTCAAAGACTACAACCTACACCTGGTACTCTTTTTATGCTGTGATGGAGATTTGTGAGGTCGAAGTTTACGGTATGTATAAAGATATTTTGATACGTAATATTTAGGGGAGTCACAATACATCAAGAGTGTATCACGATATATTGTAATACAAAATGAATATATTGAGATACGTATCCCGATCTATGGTCATAGGAAGGATGTGCTCAATTTTATAATAATTTGTTGTCAGAATGTTATCAAACCTAATCATACATGTATATAATATGGCTTACATAGATTTAAGATTTTTGTCAAACAAACCATCGATTACAGATTTGAACTATTAAAAGCCTGCTTTATGCTTATTCGCGTATTTGTTTGAATTTGTCGTAATTTGCAGCAAAGTTCAAACACCAAGCAGATACATAAAAA